GAGAGAGAGAGAGAGAGAGAGAGAGATTTTACCTATGTAAATAATGAGTGTATGTCTCTGTGAGAATCAGTGCTTGTGTATGTTTGGTATGCACACACACATATGCATGCAAATACATGTGTGTACACAATAGAGATTGTGTGGTGTTATGGCAATGTCTGTCACAGCTAACCCTCTCAGTAGGTCCTGACTGTCTCAGGTGTGGTAGTCATGACTGTACTGTGCACTGAATCCTGACAGCACCTGTGAGGTGACACTGGCCACTCCTGCCCCCCCCCCATCACTCCTTGTCCTCACTCTGGTCCCATCTTCCTCTGCTGGCTGCTCTCTCCCACCTCCCATCCCCCATCATGCCCTCTCACTTACTCCAGGAGTTCCTCTTTCAGAGTTGTAACCCCCATCCCTGTGCTCACCTGGGACCTGCAAGAGAAGCAGAGCTGAAGGCAGCCACACTCCCATCACTCCTGGTGTCATTTCTTCAGCTCTGATGTCTCCTGCCCACACCAAGCCCAAGAGAAGAGGGGCAGTGTCCTTTTACAACATCCAGTGTTCACATGCCGAGTTCTCCTTTCTGTCCTCTGCTTCCTGGTCCCCTGAGAGGCCCCAGATGAACTGGTTCAGGAAGTGCTCTGAAGATGGTCCAGGACTCAGGGGCACTGGACCACACAGTGAGCGACACATCCCCAGCCATGGATTGAGGATGTCACCTGTCCCCCAGCCTTCAACTAAGGGCTTCACAACCTTCCCACCTATGGCCAGCCCTGGAGAGCATTTCCTTTTTTTTTTTAATTTTTATTTTTTAAATTACACTCATAAGCATTTCCTTTATTGTTCATGCTGTCCATCCTCTGTGATAAGCCACTTCCTGAGCTGACTTGAGATCTGTCCATCTTATCTTGCTCCATCTTCGTGAGGAGAGGAACCACCTCCTTCACTCTTGTGAATCCCACATCATATGTGCCTTGTTGCTCCAGTGAAACCCTCTTGAGTTCATTGTGAGTGGGAGGTTCATGGGACAGTTCTTAAGGATGCTTGGCCAGTCTCCTCTTTGCATCTTGGATCTTGTTAATCCTCCTGGGTGGTAAACATGGATGGTAAACACATTGTCATGTCCTGTATTCCTCTTCTCAGAAATTCTCCCATGGGGACTTGTACAGTGCTGGGACAGAGCAGGATGAAGGATCCTGAGAAACATGAGTATGGGTTCTGGCTTCTCATGTGGGCCAGGCTTGAGGTTCCCTGGGATCTGGTCCTAAAGTGACCTCTATTTTAGAGGAGGCTGAGGAGGGACCCTGGACTTGAGACTGAGGGGTAGGGAAGTAAGGGGACAGGGAGGGAAGGTGTCCATGGAAACAGGGAAGACCTGGGGCAGGGGCACGAAGTTCTGTATATGTGATTGTGTTTACTTTTTTGCACATGTGTGTTTGGGTGGGGCATGTTTCTTTGTTCGTGTGTGTGTGTGTGTGTGTGTGTGTGTGTGTGTGTGTGTGTCAGAGAGAGAGAGAGAGGAAGAGAGAGAGAGACAGACAGACAGACAGACAGACACCGACACAGTGAGAGACAGAATATGCAACCAAAACATCATTCATGTTATATTGCTATAGGAAAATATCCCTACAGACATGCTCACTGGTCTAGTCTGATGGAGACTATTGCTCAATAGAGGTTATTTCATCCAGGAGTCTCTAGTTTGTATCTAGTTGACAAAAACTTACTAAACACTGTCACCTGTCTGTCTATCTGTCTATTATATTTCTCTTCTTTTTCTTCTTTCCTTCTTTTATCAAAGGCCTTGTATTAGTTATTTTTCTTACTATTGTGACCAAATATTTTCTTGATTACTAATTGATACGGAAGGGCTCAGCCAGCATATGTGATACCACCCCTGGGCAGGTGGTCCTGGGTTCTACAAGAAAGCAGGCTGAGTAAGCCGTGTAGAGCAGGCCAGTAAGCAGCGTTCCCGTGGCCTCTTTTTCAGTTCCTGCCTGAAGGTTCCTGCAGAGTTCCCGCACATGTCCTTCAGAATGCAGGATCGTGAAATTGAAGCCAGATGGAGCCTGTCCTCCGAGCAAGTCAGTTTTGGTCAGTGTTTTATCACAGCAACCACAACAGCAAACTAGAACAGATCGATGGATAGATGGATCGATGGATCGATGGATAGATGGATCGATGGATAGATGGATCGATGGATAGATCAGACAAACAGGTGGATCAGCTTGTCCTTGACTGACACAGAGGCTGGCTTTTTCCTATGTGATTGACACTGTTCCCTCATGATCCCATTTCTGCCTCTGCCTTGCTGCCCTTCTCTCATCATCCTCTTTATTTCTGAGACAAGGTTTCTCTATACAGTCCTGACTGTCTTGGGACTCACTCTGTAGACCAGGTAGGTCTCACAGAGATCTGTCTCCCTTACCTCCTGAGTGCTGGGATTAAGGGCATGCATTCCCACCCCCTGGTTCATTTCATGGTTTTAAAGCAGATTATTTGGCTGCCATTCTACAGCATTTCCCCTGTGGGTCCCAGAAGAAAAGCCATGTCCCCAGAGAGGACTTGCACGACCACCTTGCATCTCTTCACCTGGTTTGGTTCCTCCACTGAGCTTGTTACAACTTGCAAGTCTTTTATGTGCTTGGGACAGAATGTAAGCTCCATGGGGGCCGCCATTCTACCTTTTTGTTTATACCAGGGCTTGGCACTTAGTAGGCTCTTAATAAATATTTCTTGAATAATAACAAAGGAATTACCTTGAGAGACTTCACATAATTCTCAGTGGGGCTAGGGGAGAATTGTTAATTTGTTCATCATGCCCCTTTCATTAAGCCGCATGCTTAACCAGCCAAATGCTTCTAGTTTCTGGTCCTCACACCTTATAGATCTTTCTGCTTTCTACCACCACTCCCTGGGATTAAAGGCGTGTGTCACCATGCCTGGCTGTTTCCAATGTGGCCTTGGACTCACAGAGATCCAGAGGGATTTCCGTCTCTGGAATGCTAGGATTAAAGGCATGAGTGGCACCATTTTCTAGCCTAAGTATCTAGTGGCTTTTCTGTTCTCTGAACCCAGATAAGTTTATTAGGGTGCACAATATTTTGGGGAACACAATACCACCACATTTCCCCTTTTTGTCTAAAATTAAAAAAGACTTAAAACTAATACAAGAAAAATAATATCCAATAATTATATACAATATATACACAGTCAAGATTACATTAATGATGTCTAGTCCATCAACATTTGACCGATTCAGACAAAAAACTCCATTAATATATAACAATGTCCAGTCTGTAACAATGATGGGGCTAATTTTTTTGGTTTCTTTACCAAGATTTTATAAGTACAGACATTTTATTTCTAAAGGAATTTTTACATAGTGTGGGTCTGTGCTAAATTTTTTACATTGGAGCTTAGGATGGTGTCCTCCTAGAGTGGGCAATGACATAAAGCAGATTGGTGAAAATACAAATGTTCAGTGTGCAGAACCAACTTGTACAGCCTTTGGGACAGAGGATGCAGCAAGACTTGGGGTCACAGACCTCAGCTACAGTTTTCTATGTAACATGGGGAAGTTGCTTCTAGTTTTCCCTGACATGGGAGGCAAAGGAGATGGATTAGAGGGCTGCGTGTTTTCTTCACGATCTGTTTGTGCCAGACCAGCGGTTTTTGAGGGAGTCAGGAGTGTGTCTGCCTCACATTTCTGCTCAGGGACATCATCCCAGGAGACTTGAGGAAAGATCTATCTTCATATCATAAGCAAATGACCGAGAGGTCTGGCGTTTCACCACCAGGGCAGATTTTCTAGGCCTCCAGCCACAGTCAATCACAGCACGAGAGGAGGAAGAAATACAGTGCCCACGGGCCCTCAAGAATCGCAAAACATGCCGGGCGGTGGTGGCGCACGCCTTTAATCCCAGCACTCGGGAGGCAGAGCCAGGCGGATCTCTGTGAGTTCGAGGCCAGCCTGGGCTA